CTGGGCTGGCCTCAACTGCAGAAAGGAAAAATGAGGAAGTCAAACAAGCAGTAACGACAACAGGACAGTGCATGCCCAGAAAGAAAGGATATCCCATGAACCCAGGGACTGCGGAGATTCATAGGGTATCACTGATGGGCAGGGAAAGCATGTCATAGATTAGTGCATTACCCCGGCGCGATAACGCAATGTCCCGTACAGCCTCCTCTGTGCACTGACACTTGAGTGAGGCGCTCGAACAGGCCTAAATTTGGCCGATAGTTCTTGGGGCTGACATACACGCCACATTTGGTGGACATGGAGGGTGTAGGTATCCCGACCAGCGAGTCTATTTGAGTCGATTGAAAGCCAATTCAGCTTGTAACACGCCACGCCACCCTGCTCGGGCCCCAAGACGAGGTTCCAGGCCCAATACTGGCAGGCTCATGTCTCATCCGGCACCAGTCTGACATGCATTGATATGGGCTTTTCGTAGTGGTTGAGAGGCTGAGCGAGCAGCCAAAGTGGGTCATGATGATGCCTTCTCAACGGTGGTGGGGGTAAATCCACCCGACAGCTCACACAGAAATCAAGAACCCATGGGGGTGGAAGGATCCGTGGTAGTGTTGGGAAGGACAAGAGTGGAGGAAAGCTATGGTTTACTATGGATAGTAGCAGCCTTCGACCTGGCATATGCGGTGTCATGATGTTTCTCATCAGCTCGGGAACCTCCTGCAAGGACGAAGTTTGAAGAGCCAGTGATATATCCCGGGCCACGGGGATCGGAGATAGACGAACCCCATCAACCCGACAGTGACATATGCCCGATGGGGCGAGCAGAACTTGCAGATTCCGTGAACCCAGAAGGGCAAAAACAGCAGAGACACGTCATCGCGAGAGGATGACCTATCCGAGATAGTGGAAGCGAGCCAAGGAAGGAAAAGTGAGTGGGATAGACTATCTTTTCGGGATACGAAGGCCGATAAGGGGAGAGAAGTGGAGCAGAGCAAAGGTTCCGACGGGAAATAAGGAGAATAAAAAAAAAGAAAAATAGCGGGAAGTTTTAAGGTTTGGCTCGCGCTTTTTCTGATAGTCTGTTCGCTCTTTCTTTCTTTCCCGGACCAGCAAAGCCTGCCGATCGGGTGAAAGTGACAGGAACTAGTAGGAACCAACCACCTGGCGAACGGGCCGTGAGTTAGATGTCAGATTTGCTGGTTAGTAAATGGTAGTTACTTAGATGTCCATCTGTTAGGGTCCGAAAAGTACCAATACCCAATACCCAATACATATTTACCCATTACGTCGTTACGTAAGTTTCCATACAGTCAGGATACATCGGTATTGTCACTGTTGACTTGTTGTTCACTGGTCGGTAATCATCTCTTTTTTGCCCTGAACAGACACAAAGGATGTATGTGTCCGCATCGTATATGAATATGCTCAGCAGAAGGTTACGCAGATCATAATCATCAAGACATTTCTCTCACCTCTTCCTAGCTAATTATTCCACCATTGAAACTACTCTCCTTGCCTTCTTTCATCTGCTCATGCAAACGCCACCAACCATGGACGGGTGGTGGATCATCTCGTTGCTTGTGGTAACTCTGGGAATCCCCACGGTTAATGCGGCTTCCAGAGACCAATGGATCAGTCGCTCTATCTATCAAATCGTGACCGATCGCTTTGCTCGATCGGATAACTCAACCACTGCTGCTTGTGATGCAGCAGAGGGGAACTACTGCGGAGGTACTTTTCAGGGCATCATCAACAAGCTGGACTACATCCAGAATCTCGGCTTCGATGCGGTAGGTTTAGCACTACAGAGTAGTGTTCCTCACACTTTCTGCCACTCTTCTCATATCCGAGTCTCCCAGATATGGATCTCTCCGGCGCAAACCCAGATTTCCGCCCGAACAGCAGATCTCTCAGGTATGGCACTTCAAAACCTTCATAAACCATCTTCAATTTTTTGTACATTGTTATATACATGATATATTTATGTAGTTTGGTAGGTAGATAATTCAACATGTTAACAGTTCATAGCATACCATGGATATTGGCCCAATGACCTGTATTCCATCAACTCCCACTTCGGCACTCCCAAGGAGCTTCAAGCCTTGTCCTCTGCCTTGCACGATCGTGGAATGGTAAGTCAATTTACCATGTTTTCTTGAGAACGACGTTGACCATGCGAAACTCAGTACTTGATGCTCGACATCGTGGTTGGTGATATGGCCTGGGCGGGAAATTCTAGCACCGTCGATTACAGCACTTTTAATCCTTTCGATGATCAAAAGTATTTTCATGACTTCAAACTCCTCTCCAGTGATCCCACAAATGAAACATGTGTCCTGGATGTAAGTGTGCATCGTGATATATTACCCCTGGAAGTTTTGCTAATGCCATTCTAAGTGCTGGATGGGAGACACCGTCGTATCGCTTCCCGATCTGCGAAATGAGGACGAGCAGGTTCAGAATATTTTGGGTTCCTGGATATCGGAGTTGGTCTCGAACTACTCGAGTAAGTCTTATTTTTTTTTAACTGTTCTGGGATATTGATTAACATGTCTCTTGTTGCTAGTTGACGGACTGCGTATCGACAGCGTCCTTAACATCGCCCCCGACTTCTTCTCCAACTTCACCAAGTCATCGGGGGTTTTCACTGTCGGTGAAGGCGCTACGGCCGATGCGGCTGATGTTTGTCCTCTACAGCCAAGCTTGAATGGGCTATTGAATTATCCATTGTGAGTACCGCATCGTGATGAGTAGACTGAGTCGTGTTGACCTTCTCAGGTACTACATTCTCACCGACGCCTTCAACACAACCAACGGGAACCTGAGCACCATTACCGAGTCTATCAGCTACACCAAGGGACAGTGCGAGGTAGGACATGCTCCAAAGGTAATCTTACCTCCAAACTGACCATATACAGGATGTCCTCGCTCTGGGAACGTTTACTGCTAACCAGGATGTTCCGCGCTTCGGTTCATACACGTCGGATATATCGGTAAGTTTAGCCGCATTCCTATCTCAATACTGAACAATGTTTGACCTTTTCTGCTCGTGAGCAGTTAGCTCGCAATATTCTTACCAGCAGTATGCTGGCGGACGGCATCCCCATCCGTATGTTCTCATCCCCGCTTTCCCCATAGGAAGCAAGATTTCTCAGACACCACTGATGATCTAATCACAGTCTATTATGGCGAGGAACAACATCTGACTGGATCCTACAATCCGGTTAATCGTGAGGCTCTCTGGCTGACCAGCTATTCGATGGACTCGACTTCCCTCCCCACCCTCGTCCAATCACTTAACCGCCTTCGATCATATGCTAGCGGAGATGGTGAGCAGTACACCCAAAAGTCGCAATCTGGAAGCGATTACCTCTCGTACCTGACAGCACCCATTTACAATTCTACCCACATTCTGGCCACGCGCAAGGGGTTTGCAGGCAATCAGGTCGTGAGTGTCGTATCCAATTTGGGAGCCAAGCCATCCAGCAAAGCCACCACCAAAATCACTTTGGGCTCAGACGAGACTGGATTCCAAGCCAAGCAAAATGTGACCGAGATCTTATCTTGCAAGACGTATGTCACTGATTCCAGCGGGAATCTGGCAGTGGATCTGAGCTCGGATGGAGGTCCGCGCGTGTACTATCCCACGGACAGCCTGAAGGACAGCACCGATATCTGTGGTGATCAGACCAAATCGGCGACCCCGAGTAGCTCCGCAGCCTCATCCGTCAGCCCAACCCAGTACAAAGGGTCTGAGACTTATTTGTTTGGGGTACCGTTGGGAATAAGCACATTGGTGGTCACCGTTGCGATGGCCACGTCCTACGCGTTCATCTAGTCCCCTTGAGCCTCTACGCCTGATGTTTATCGCCTGTCTTTCCATGTTTTGCATTACCCTCATGGCTCTTGTTCCCTCTTCCGCTCTTTCGTCTGTCCTGAAACTGTGGCTTTACATGAAACACTATACCATGCCTCTGGCTGCACTAATAGGGTACCAAGTATAGAATACGGCGTCTTGTTTGTTACTAGTCACCCTAGCATCACGGTAATATACATGAGTTGTTCCGTCTAGATCTATATTAAATGTCTTGAAAGCCTTAAAGCAGAGGGATGAAATTGTCAGCGTCTCTTGCTGACCCTAATGGCATAGACAAAGCAGTATACGGCGGGGATGTTTGATTCGGAGTTCCCGACTGTTGCGGGCTTTCTCTTCCTTTGATGGGTTGCCCTGACGGTCGGGCGCACAGGAACCGGCTCGGCTTCGGTTACCCTTGGAAGAACAACCACAACCACAACGACGACAAGCAGCCTGCCAGCTTGCAGGATGACCGCAGGTCCCAGATAAATACACTCCGCCAGCCAATCTGACCTGATCGGGACATCTTACCGTATTGAACGGGTATGAAATAACAGCCAGATTCTGCCCACCAAAATAGAAGTACGGATCTTTGACAGCCTCGATTTCTCAAAACCCTTATCGGCTGTTCCGTCTTGCAGCCAATCCCTCCTAGTGCCAACCTTGCGCTGACACGAGATGGCTTCAACTTGCTTTCACAGCTCGCGTCTTTATCTGTCGGGGAAAGAACACCCACAGCCAGTCGTATCGGAGCAGCTCATTGGACCGATATTGTGATATATCCAGCACACCATGACAGATCACTGCTTCAGAGACATACATCCCGGCCATGCCCGATTGCTGTCACTCTACGTGGGAAATGTCTCGGATTACACTTTGAGGTCCCTTTTTTATTGCCCTTCCTGCGAGAGGCTCAGCCCATACTGATGATCATCTCGTATTGCTGCTTCAGTGTGCGGTCTAGACAATCGACCTGGTCCCGATCTGTTGGGCCTCAGCTAAAGGCTGCTGAGTGATTCAGTACAGAAGAGTATACCGTGTGTCGTTATAGGATCCCGTCAAAGAAAACCCTTCTCAAAGATGTTTTATATACATACTATATATAGCAGGCAAATGTCCCGGTAGAAACTTGGACACTACTTCCTAGCTACTAGTATTCTCTGCAGTAGTAATTCAGATCGTATCAACATGCGCTTCGCAATCACCGCCGCCTCGCTGAGCCTCATTTCTTCGGCTTTGGCCATCACCATCACCGAGCCCACATCAGGCACTGAATGGGATTTCTCCACTCCCAAAACCATCAAATTCACCAGCGATGCCAACGATCCGTCAGTGATCAGCATCATCTTGCGCACCCAGGACGGATCTTTCCAAACCAAGCTGGCGGACAACGTAAAGACTTCCACTGGGGAATACACTACCCAGCCCAACCCTAGCATTTCCAACGGGTACGTACCCTAGACCGTGTGAACTCACCGATAGTTGGAAGTGGGAACATTATTAACTGTTTGTCTTCCATGCTAGGTCTGACTATGAAATCGAGATCATCGACTCGTCGGGCGAGCTCGCTGTGAGCCCGACTTTCACTGTCGAAAAGGGTGCATCGACCGATGGTACTACTTCCTCGTCATCGTCTTCCACTTCCACTACATCTTCTTCCTCTTCCTCTTCTTCTTCCTCCACCTCCTCCTCCTCTTCAACATCCAGTGAGACCGAATCCACCACAGTCACCCCTACGACTGCGGTGTCTTCGACATCTATCTCGTCGAGCAGTCCTCTGTCTTCATCTTCAGGCAAGATGTCATTTCGTTTTTGTCGCACGGCGACCTCACTGACCCAAGTGTGAGTTCTCTACAGGATCGACTACGTCTACCTCTGCATCTTCATCCTCTTCTACGGGTACTACGCTCGCCACGTCCGCGTCTGCTACCTCGAGCTCGAACAGCACTTCCACCACGACTACCGCTCAGCTATCCACCGGCGCGGCTTCATCTACATTCAACGCTCCTCAGGGACTTGTGGCTCTGATTGGGGCTGCTTTGGCGCTTCTCTACGCCTGACCATCAACTTCATTTCGGAATCATGCACACGCTTGTTTTTAGTCTACGAGTGATGAGAATTGAAAATAGAAATACCTTGTTTTGTCGGGCTTCCCTCGTTCCTTGTAGTCGTTTTTTGTAGTCCTTGGGCACAGTAACTAGTATCGGACTAGATCTCTCCACGATTACTTGGGCTAAAGGGCACACTAGAAAATGAGAGATTAAACCCCTATTGAATTATGAGCCGCAGGCGTATGTCGATCCAGCGGGGCTCAAATTGACAACAACAGATCTTCTCCACCGTTCCCTGCCGATCGAACCTTTTTTTTTCTCTCTTCTTTCGCTGGTATCCGCCTACTGTCGGTGGTATGCCTCTGTAGCACTTACCCAGATGTCAATATCGTGGTCGTTGAAAGGTTCCATGATGAAACCCTGTTTTTATCTTGCCCGGAGATATATGCTTGGGACTTTTTGTTGACTTTTCCGCTTAATCGAAGTATGACTGATTCCAAACGCAATCTTACTTTCGGGTACTGTTCTTTGTGACGTACTAACAACCCTTTTGCTGGACACGTCACAGATGGATCAGCGCACTAAGCAGCAGGAGATGCAGGGATGCTAACGGGAGATCTTTGTCCAGTCGGGTCTTAGGGCCTGGCCACGCTTTCACCACCGCGGCCATCAGTTGCGACTACCGGTGAGGGATTACGGGACGGTACCTTACCGTATATATTACTTGGGAAAATCCTCAACCTTCATGAGACATCAAAGGCATACAAAGCTAACCAGGGATATATTTTGTTTACCAAGACTTTTCGTATTCTATCACACTGATGATGACTACTAGGATTTTGTGCTCCACTTTAAGCATCCGAGCTTAGAAACACTCAAGAGCATATCCAATACCGTGGAATGATACATCCGTACGACTCCGTCTTACAATTTAGTCCTTCTTATCTTTCAAGTCAATTTCTATGGATCCATCCAATCACTGCGTGAACAGTTCACAGTATGTTAACTTAGGTAAGCTACCCAACAGGAAGGAAAATTTGCGATGGCGGAATGTGACATCTCATCCCCAATAACATGGCAATCTTCACACCGCCGGAAGTCGCGTATGCATCTCGGGCTGCACGAGATAAGGCTGTGTCTCCCCTTGCGTTACAGCTTCCGCGGCAGTTGGTTTCTTGTTTACCTGCTGTGTAACCAGCTTTTCGAACCTCGGAAAGTGATGCAACTTTCGACAACCGACTCCTATTTATAGTCATCCTTCTTATTTGCACCTCGTTAGTGCAGACTCTTTCCCGTCCGGGATATACCAACACGCAACACCCAGTGGATTACTAATTACATGTGTGTACCCGCAAGGTCATACATATTGTATCGTCGATATGGTAGTCTCGATAATTGTAGTGTAATCGGCATGGCCAGCGTATCCCAAAAGTCGTCTAAGAGATGAAAGGTGCCACCGGTGTGGCAAATCGCACTGCGGGTTTAGGCCATTCCAAATGGTATAATATGCTTTGAGTAAGGGGGATCACACCAGCCACACAACACGCCCTTCCCGGGTTTGATCCTCAAGAGGCACCGCGGGGCTGTTAAGAATTGCTTGACAGATTCCCGGCTGCCCTGGATACTCGCCTAAATCGAAGGAGTCTCGGGGGAAGCTGACGTTCTGACCATCTGTGCTGATGGTGAAGGTCAGCTCTGGAGCAACTGCATCCTGTAGAGGGCACGGAGCCCCTCACACGCCAGCCGATTCCATCTGCGTAATGAACGGCGACTTTGTCTGTAAGGTCCTCCGCTGACTCTGTATCAGGACTCTGAAGAAACGCCGTTCCTCCTTTGAGAGCATATAGGCAAACGGTGCGGGCAGGCCACCCGTTGATGTCGAGACTCACGAAGTCCAAAACGTAAATTTCGGAGAAAATGCTCGCATTGTGATTGAGGTCGGGCCAGAAAATATCACACAATGACCTTGAACCCATCGCTTCGCCCAAGGTCAGCTCAGTCCGGTACTCTGAGCCTAGGATGGAGTAGCAAGGAAAAAGCCAATCTCGGCTAGCTGTCCGGCTAGCTATCCACTATAATACCATGACCAGAATGTAGGAACCCCGTCAATCGCAGACCATGGCGCAACCTTCATTCCCATAATGTTGTCCTTAGGTGTAATTCGGAACACCTCTGGGAAATGGATAATGCAAATGATATATTGTCCCGAGGAGGTGAACTATGCTAGACGGGCGGTCTCACAATTTACCGTCCAACTGACAACTTCTGACCTGCGCAAGGACACCGCCGTGGAACCAGTGCTGTAATCTACCACGAGTTTCACATCGAGCTGCCGGAAGAAGGTTCGAAATTTTGCCATTTGAAAGAGGGTATTACTGCCGCAGCCCAGGCAGTTCCTCACCGGTAGGACTGGGTCTGTCGATCCTGTCTTGTACATCACCATGCTAATCGGAAGATTGATCATCAGCATGGATTGGGTCCAAGATGAGGTAGGCTACCGACAAATTCTGTGGATGACCGACATGGATCATGCCATACCACTGTACACAACCATCAATCTTGATACTGAATGAGAGTCAGTGTAGGGACTGAGCTGAGGATTAATATGGATATTTCAGTCGCAGTGGCACCATCACTTGTCCTCGATCATTTGAAGAAAATCGCCGTCCGACATGGCCTTCCAGCTGAACCTCTGATGGCGGTGCAATAGATGGACGAGATTTGCTAGAGAGAAATGCCAGCTAAGAACCAGCAGGTCATAGAAGACAACATTCCATTGTGGCCAACACTAGACGCGCAAAGAAACCAACGCTTCGAGTAGGTTTTTGTTGTGCTACCACGTTTAGCTTTATTGGCCGCATTTTCCCTTTCCCTTCCAGAATCTAGCCAGGCTTGCATGCAGACAGTCCTCATGGCATGTTGTACCCCGGTAATGTTTATGCAGATTACATTATTGCATTCGTCTGAGCCGCATCCTTCCAACATTGTCGATAAACCAGGCCTTCTCCCGTCTGAACCCTACTTTGTCCTTTGTAGCTCTTTTTACCTTGTTCAGTTGAAATGCCAGCAAGACTTGGGGAACTACAATGATTGTTATCTTGTGGCCATTGACAAACATCGGCAATATCCGAGCTAATAGCGGACAAGCTTCTAAGATCTTCTCTTTCAAACTGCTACAGTATCGTGGACCCGGCCATAAACTTTCTCGCCTTCTCTGGCACATTCCACCATCAGTACTTACATGGTGTCTTATATTCGGTGTAAAATGGAATGTTCATTTCTCCAACCTGGCGGAGGTCGCTACCATGTCTAGTGAAAACTTGGGCAGAACCCTTCTTTCGAAGTTAGAACATATAATGGACAGTATTCCTTGCAGTGATGGGAGCATAGTGACGAACTCGCTGATTCTAGCAGCGCAGAATCCCTTCAGATGTTAACTCTCCCAAATTTACCGTCCTGTAACATCAATATCATACATCTATTAGCCATCTTGCTCAAGTGTCTAGCAACCATGGATAAGCTACCAGAAGAGATCAAGCATTTCATTGCAACTTTGGTAAGTACGTTGTTTAACTAAACTTTTGATACACGGCACTGATGCAGCCCGCAGTTATGTGATAGAACCCGAAGAAGCCTGATGGCATTGTCTCAAGTCAGTAGGGTATGGAACACTATCGCAGGATCAGTCTTATATCGCCACCTTTTGATACCTTAAGATATCGAGCGAGAAATCCTGTTCTTACTTGCTTCGTCTACCACATACCCAAAGAGTCTTTGCACATGTGAAACAACTAAGTCTGATGACGGTTTTGGGACTTTTAAAACCCCCGCTCAAATACTACCTAGATCCTCGTGATGCCCTGGAACAAGGGGGTGTCGGGAAGGGTTTTATTGATCGATGTCCTTCCTATGAAGAGGATATAACCCCAATTCTCAACCTGATTACACAGCTGCCTAATCTCAGTGAGGTCAATATATTGGTGAGGAGGGTGGGACGGTTGAGCTTGCTGAGACAATCTCACGGCATCATCCAATATGCTGAGTCTCCCTCTTTATCTCATCACTTTCCACGCAAGGCTTGGGATGGCTCACCGTTACTGCATGCCGTGTGTCATTATCCCTTGAAGAACACTGAATATGGTGAGACACAGTCTGCGGATAAGTTACTGCAGAGCATTGTGCACCGAGCACCACATGTACGGAGGGTCTCAGTTCAGTCCTGTTCTTGTGGTCCCCTGCCTATGGAGGAAAGTCAGAATGTATCTCAAGTAGTCGCCCAAATAGAATCCTTATGCTGGCCGCTAGATAGAGTGATGACCGCGGAGGGCTTCCAGCACTTGAAAGGAATGACGGATCTGGAATATCTGATATCGTGGACAGCTGGCTGCATCAAGGATACGATGTTGCTACAGACTCTGGCGAGTATGCAACCCTTCAAGGAGCTTACTCACCTGACCCTTGCCCTTATCGAGCCGTATGAGAACGAGTACGCATTTTGGTCCAGTGCAGAGGCGATGTTGGAATCCTTGCCCCCATTGAAATTTCTTTGCCTGCTATGCAGATATACGCCCGCATTACTCACCCGTGGTGCGGTGCTTCGCAAGCATGGACCGACACTCCTCGAATTGGAATTACATCGGGCATCACCTTCGAGGCAAGAGATAGACCTGTATGAGCTTGCCTTAGGCAAAGTAATTGATCCAATTTTCTCAGACAATGATGTTTTGGAGCTAAGCCGCCAGCTTCCATTGCTCAAGAAGCTGCAAATCTGTGTTCAGCGCCGCCGTGGCCTCGAGGGGGCCGTGTACACAGCTTTGGGGCAATTCAAATGTCTGGAGGAGCTAGAACTAGTTCTCAACTGCCTTCCGGAGATGAATATTTTTGACCACCCGGTCCCGTCGCGTGAGTTGACAGATTTCGAAATGGTTCGAATCTGGCATAGTTCTGTGCGAGGTTGTGGGTGGCCCAGATGGTACCTGCGTGATTTGTTGATCAACTGTGCCATCGATGAAGCGTTGGCCAAAGCAATCTTCTCGTATGTCTGGAAAGGTCGAAA